CCCGCCGCGGGCCACAGCAGACGGGCACCGAGGGACCCAGCCAGCGGAGCAGCAGGCAGCAGAGCGAGCGGAGGGGCCGCCGGAGGGCTCGCACCGGCCGGGCTGCATCCCCGCTGGCCGCGTGGGGGCGTCTCCTCCCCACGCCCCGAGGCTCCTGCGGGGTCGCACCAAGGACGCGGTGCAGAGACGCGCGGCTACAGTCGGACGTGCGCTGCGCTTTCAAGGGTGTAGGAGTCGTGGCAGGTTTTTGGGGAGTCACGTTTTATTCCTAGTCACCCCAACCGACCAGCCAGGGCTGTAACGCAGCGCGAGACACAGCTGCGCGAGCTGCGGCCACTCCGCTGTGGCTCAAGGCCGGCTCGCCCCTCGGTGCAGCCCGGCCTGACCACGGTGCCGCTGCGGCCACCGCCCTTGAAAGCAAAGCAGAGGCCTGAACTTTCCCGAGGCCCTGCCCCACCTGATGCCAGACATTGCGGCCCCACCCAGCGCCTCCCAGGTTTCGTCAGTTGGTCGGAGGAGTCACCGAGAGAGGAAGCCCGCGGACATGACGGCGCGCAGGTGGCGCTGTCCCAACCTGGCACCGCGGTGCCCTGGGGTCCTCGGATGGAAGGAAACGCGTGAACCAAGCACGGCTGGACGGCCCCACTGCCCAGACGTCCCAGAGGGCACGGGACGACTGAATCTTCAGTCCTCTCCCTCCTGTCCAAGGGCCCTGCCCGCACACGGGCTCTTCCCCAGTGAGGTGCCCACGCGCCACCGGGCCCTGGCCTCACCTGCGGTCTGGTCCAGACCCTCGCCCGGAGCACAGGAGGTGCCGCCTCCACCCCACTGTGCAGCCCAGCGCCCCGCATCCACAACCTCCCCTCCCCGCGCCACCTGCTTCAGACTCAAGTATGAGCCAAGCTACAGAAACTCTATATTAGGGGACCAGGGGTTTGACTATTTATAATCTGAGCTCACTAATCTTGAAAAGCTGCCATCCCCAAAACATACCTTTCCTTTCACATATGCTAACTTCAAAAATAACCAGTTTGTCAAAATTCTCTGCCACTGTTTGGCACCTATGTACCGATGAAGTTCTGTAGTGGAAACAGACACCAAAATAGCCACAATCCAGAGCATCCCAACGCTCACAGCTGTGCCATGTCACATTCAAATGAACTAAGTATTTTAAAGGAAAAAGAGTTTTATTCTGGATTCAACACTAAGGCTACAAATGCACGTGATAATCACCCTCAGTATTGATGTGCTCCAGGTGCTAAGTAAAAAGTAGTAACTTACATTTAACCCTGATCTAAACCATGCACACGAAGGTCAGCTGCTAAAATATGACTCCTGATGCTTCAGATTACTTTAATATGCTGTTTGCCTAAAATTCAGGACACTTTGTACTAACACATACTGATTACACACATTTAGCAAGGTCAGACCTGTGGCCTCACAGACACATGTCCACAAACCGGGCTTGTAGAGAGAAGCCCGTCCAGGTCTGGGAAGGCCAGCACGGAGCAGAGCCTGGTGCAGAGCTGTGGGGCCAGGGCGTGGCCAGGAGGAGCCAAGCCAGGGAGGAGGGATGCTGTGTATGGCTTGGCCTCGAAGATGAACTTGACCAGGAGGCACAAGTATGGAGGATGGGCTGGGCAGCACTGAGGACAGAACCTTCTTACCAAGTGGCTCTGGTGACGGCAGACTCTGAGGATGGGATGCTGGGCCAAGCCTAGAGCGCAGGAGACTTTACTTTTAAAAATGGATTCTCTCTTTTCTAGTTGGCTCCAAATACCTACAGCAGTAATATCCAGAGAGCACAAGGAGAACTGTGACAACTGGACACAGTGACTTGTCCTGTGGCTTTGCTTCAGCTCCAGGATGTAATTTAGCTTTAAGTCCAAATAACACTGAAAGAGAGGGTGGGGCAAAAGTAGGTTTACAGTTGTGAGTATTGAAACAGTTTATTCTTATTATTTATTATTGCATTTTTTTCCATGTGTACAACCGTAACCTACTTTTGCCCATCCTGTATGGCACCTCGTGTTATAAAGGAGGGCTGGTTAAAAAGCAGCATCGTTTGCCATGACTGAGCCGGATGCTTGGGAAGCAGAGAGGTCACTGGCTGCTACACTGAGCCCCCACCTGTGAGCAGGTTGTGAGTGGTGACCCACATGCTGTTCAGTAACCTCGACATCAGCCCCGGCACACTTGTCTGTCAGGTTCGACACTGATGTATCTCCAAGACATCACAGTCCAAGCAAGCGTGCCAGGCAGGGACTGTCCCTAGTCAGCAGAGGACAGCGAGCACACACCAGGGCTCTGCCTGGGCTCTGGCTGCATTTGATGAAAACCGCACCTCTTTGGTCCAATGAGCTGAACTGCCCAGTGAGGCACCACGATGGTCAGTCTCAGAGGCCTCCAACGCCACAGAGCAGGGCTTCTCCAGCCCAGACAGCCAACAAGACCTGAAATGGCTGCCTTGGAACCAAGGCCCAGATCTGTCCTGCACACACTTACTACTTCTACTTCAGTGGGTGCCTGCTATTAGAATAACCCTGACGGCTCCCCGTAGATGACTTGATTTAATGACTGCTTGGCGTGACCACAAAAGCCGTGTCAGCACAGTGCAGGCACTGTGATCTTGAACCAGGAGAGTGACAGACACTTGCCTCTCAGCTTGTCTTCATAAATCATCCCTGTACTTGGCTCACCCACTACTGACTGGAGACAGAGCTCCAGCAGGCACGGGCCCTGGGAGTGAACACCCACACCGCCCAGGTGCCCAGGCCTTGCCGGAACCCAGCTTGGTGGCAGCATATATGAGTTTGCCAGTCCAGCATCATCACCTTCTCCAAGGGGCCAGGAAGCCCCATGGTCACCAGTGGGGCTGAAACCCGCTCTGCTGCAGCCTGGGGAGTCAGGGCCGAGCTGGGGTGAGGAGGGAAGGACAGGGACAACCAAGACACCAGACAGAGGCAGGCCCATGTTTTCAGTGAGGCTGAGGAAGGAGCCCTGAGGATGGCAGGTCTCAGAAACACTGAGGGTGGACATAGGTCAACACGTGACAATGGGTGGGAGGGCCTGATCAGGAGCAGGGCTCTGGGTCATCACTCAGCACAATAAAAAATGTGGACTGAGATGGGCCGGGAGCCCCGAGGCTCGGGACCCTCAGGAGGCTGATTCAGGAGGATGGTGAGTTCACAGCAGTGGCCATAGAAGGGATGTGAGTGACAGGAGAAGCTGCTGAAAGCCAAAGGCTCTTGGGACCCTCGTTACCAATGGTTGGGGACGTGCGTGCACTGGACCCCACTTTTGACCATGAAGGAGAAAGTAGCCGGACAATGGCAAGAGCCTCCGGTGAGAAGGTCGCAGTGCGACGGGAAACATGCTGTCATCACACTGGTGTTAACAGAGAGCACATAAAATGTGCTGTAGTAAGTGACAAAAGTGGGTGCTATCATGCAACACACAGAGATGCATCCTAGGAAAGGTCACGGGGAAGGGGGGCAGTTCCATCAGGTGTCATAACTGACAGGTTTACAGCAAGGCCAGCAGAGGTGGGGGTTGGGGGCTGGGGCAGGCAGTCCCCCAGCAGGGGGCACTGTGAAGCAGACCTCTAGGAACAGTCCCCACTTTTGCAAGCTTGGCTTCTGAGGCACCCAGTAGCCTCCAGGGAAGGTGTGCAAGTAAGTGAGGGTGCTCTATGGTGGTGCCATTAGCCGGGGTGTGGTCCACCTGGCCTGCAAAGAAGGCACAAGGAAGTCCTGCAGGGAAGAATCATCCACCCCAAACGTGGTAGTGTTGCTGGTAAGAAACTGGGGTCTGGAAAGATGAGTCAGGTACTGAGTCAAGACCACGGTAGGCAGGAATTGGGTCTATTATAAAGTGTTTTAAAAAATAATCAAGGGTGAGTAACAGATAATTCAAGAAATGGCATAGGACTTAAAAGGGTAAAGCTATTTTAAAAGATGGATCTATACCTTCTAAGGAAATACATTTAGATGGGTCAGATGCTGCATATAAAATCTGAAGTAAGGAGGCCTAGGGGCACCCCTGCTCACCATTCCAGCTGCTCCCACACTTCTCTGGAGTCCAGGCTGCTCACCCCACTGGGGGAGTCTTTCCTCCCTGGTTTGTTCTATTTTAAGAAAATTAGCTCCTCTACCTCGGATGTGCAAATATCACTTCCCATTGTGTTCTTTTGTCTTTCAGCCTTGTTTATAGTACCTTTTGCCATAAAAAAGTTTAAAGTTCTACATAGTGAAGTCTGTACGTTAAGCTCTTAGGTTTAGGAAAAATTTCCCTCATGTACAAATTTTTCTCACCTGGAATGTAAGAGGTATACTGCCCACAGGATCAGCTAAAAACGTAAGAGACTGGAAATGTCCAGGCTGTGGGGAAAGTGCACTTCCTTGGACTGCCCTCAGGAGGGTGAGCCGGCTGGGCGTTCCAGAGGACAGTCTGTAAACAAGCCTAAATCCAGAAGCATGCTGCTGAGGTGTGTGGTGCTCAACACTCCCACTTCCGAAATCTGTCTAACCTCCGCAGGCAAAGCACAGATCCTCACTGAAGCACCAAGGAAACTTCTGGATGCTTTGGGGGGGGGGAGGGTAGTTATAAACAAGTTGCTTTCATAAAATAGATTTCTGCTTTTTTAAAAAGTGATATAAATAAATCTATATGCACTGAAAAGGAAAATCCTGCATAACACACTGAAAGAAAATGCAGTTATAATACCATATGTGAACCAGGCACAATCTCTGTAAAGTCTACGTACTATATGCACAAGGAGGCACAGACACTGCGTGTAGCATGCACTGGGCTGCGGGCCTTGGGGGAGTGTTCCTTCCTGTCATCTTCTATAAAATTGGCCTTTTCTGTACATTTCTGTTGGAAGAAGAGTTCTTTTCATTTGAAAAATAATCCCCAGGTCGGAGTGCACAGGAAAGGCCCTCTCTTCTGAAGATGACCCGCTTTTCAGTTGATGAAACCGAGGTTCTATGAGGAAGTCTCAGAACCTGTGCTGTTCAAAGAGGAAAGAACACCCCCCTGCAACCACCCTCAGGCACCATCACCTCTCCCTGATGACAGTCCCTGGAAAAGACAACACCACCCTGAAGGTTCTTAGCACTGACTGCTCCCGTGAACCCGGCAACATAGGAAGAAATAAATTAACAGAAAGTTTTTGCCTAACGAACAGTTTATAAAAATGCAACTTATAATGATGTTGTAGTCAAAGTTATAAAAGTTACCACTAACTCTGCCAGGTTACCATGGCAATTTAAATGGAATCAATCCTAATCACTCAATTCCCATTTTCTTTACATTTTGGAGAAATTGCTCTCCTCTAACTAACACACTGTCAGAGCAGAAGCCAGCACCAGGCCCATCCTAGCCACCTTCCTGGAAGAGGCGGCACCGAGTTCACGGAACAGGAAAAGTGACAGTTGGTATGGGCTGGGAGCACAGTTTATAAGAGATACATGTGCCAGTTGGCACTGTCACTGTCCCATTTCCCATGAGGAGGTCACTAGCTCGGTCCCTGGGAAGTGGCACCTGGTCTTGGGATAGACTGACGTGCTCTCAGCAGGGGCCCTGCACAGACCTGCCTGAGGGTCCTAAGCAGAGCAGAGTGCAGATGGTGCCTGGGGGAGTGCGGCACACTTTTATTGAATATACAAAGAACATGGTGAGCATGCTCCCCAAAGCAATTTATCTTCATGAAAACAGTTCACTATTGAATGATATAATCTATTTATCTAATAATTACATTCTAAAGATTTTCAACTGGGCTTGAAAAAATGAATACATTACTCCTAGCAACCCCATTTTCAGTTTTGTGGTTTCTGATCCTTTAATTAGGAAGTCAGAAAGACCAATGAGCTAGAAAATCGTATTTTCTTAATATTCAAATTAATTAAGGTTTGAGTATAGAGTTTCTCAGTTTACACAGGCTAAGATTTTATTTGAAAATCCACATCCCTCTGAAGGAAGTTTTGGAATAATGACTTAGAGAAAAAGCTGCCATTTCACTTCGTAAGGTACACCTTCCTGTGCAGAATTGGCCCTGCGCCCGGAGACAGGACAGTCAACAACAGAGCAGATACAGACAGTAGTTCCATTTCCCACAAGAGATGCAAAATAAGCTGTTCCCATGATTACAAAATTCATATAACATCCCAGACATTTAGAAAAAATGGGAGAATCAAGAAAAAAGTTCTACTAAACCAAGACAAGCACAGCTGAGAGTATCATGCATTTAACACCAGGGGTCTCGTTAACAAATGCAGCTAAAATCACACTCTGACTTCAAGTCTCCCATTTAAAGGGCTGCAAACCACGCCCAAACCACTGTGTGGCTGTGCAGGGACAGGCTCACCCTCTCTAATTATGAATTTAGATAAAATCGATGCACAAATCTAGAAACTGGAAAACCATGCTTTTTCACCTTCCGCATCATCACTGCTGCACGAGCTCTGGGAATCCGAGCTCTGGGAATCCGTGCGGCTGAGCAGCTCTGGCGGAGCAGGAACATAGCCCTCAGGAGGCAAAGCCACGGTGTAGAGCCGCTGGCCAGGAGGGGTCCCAGTGCCACCACCTGCAGGAGAAAACGGGAACAGGGACCGGTCAACACTGCAGGTGTCATCAGACACTGACCTCCATCCAACCACATTCTCGAGGGCCTGACATCAGTGAGCTCAATAAAACTCAGCCACTGTTGCAACACTGACTTCAATACGCCAAGCATGTCGCCAGGAGAGCAAGTCAACTATACATTCAGCTGGGAACAAGGAAGGCTCCACGATTATTTAAGTTCACATTAGGTTACTTACTATGCTAACTTCTAGGTTATTATGACATAAAAACATAACTAATTAATGAGTAGAAAGCAGAAAATACTCCACATAACACACTCCGTCATTATCATAACATGAATCTCAACAATTTGGTTGCATAATCTTCTGGACCTTTCTCTCCATGTCTGCTAACAATCCATGTACAGTGAGTGTGTGTGTGTGTACACATAGACACATAGATGCACATGTCTCAGTGGGATCACGCTCCATATTTACTGTAAAACATTTATACATCATAACTTGCATGTTATATGTATACTATCATTCAAGAGTGAATATTATGATAAAATAATATGTTGATATATTTAAATCTACATAGTCGTTTAATGGCTACATAATAACCCACGTAATTGGCAAATGATAACTTAAATCAGTCTTAAATTTTATGCATGGAGGTCCATTCTGAATTTCCAGGGTCAGAAACAGCTGCTGCAACCACCCTTGCTGTAGGTAACTGCACACTCATCCACTCAGGTCCTTCAGATGAATCCCTGGGACGACTGCCGGGCAGAGTGAGCCTGGCCTTTCTGACACACTGTCAGGAGGGGCCGTGAGATGTTGCCTTCTCCACACACTCTTCAACACAGAGCAGCATCAATCCTTTCAATCTTCATATTTCATTAAAAATATGGCAAAGTAAACCTTGTAGGTAACAAACACAAGCAGGTGTCACTGCTGGACTTTATTTATTGCTCCTGCTGTCTTCCCACAGCTGGCGTCTTTTTCAGAATCATTGACACAAGGGCCTTCCCTCCACGCTACACCCTGACCAAGGGCACCCATGTCCTCCCACCTCCCAAAGCCATTGTGAGTCTTTTCTTTCCCTCTCCCCCACTCCCTCTCATCAATTTTTCTTCTCCAGTCAAAATTTCAGCACGTGAAAACATGCAGTACTTTCTCCAATCTTAAAACAAGCCCATGGTTCCCTCTCCCCATGCACTCCATCAGCACCTCCCGACCCTGACTCCTATCCCACTGGAACCCACCCATGAGCTTCTAGTCACAGGCTTCCAAGTTTTGCCCAACACACAAAATCAGTACTTCTCTGTCACAGTTAACAGTTAATTACATCACCAAGACTTAAAAACACACACACAATTTCTGACTTCACTGTTTCATCCAGTTTCCCACACCTGCCCTCTAGGTACCTTTTTCGTTTCTGTTAAAACACATTCCTGACTGTTCTTTTAGCAAGGTGTGTGGGTGGTAAACTGCCTCGTGCTTTGTAGAAATGAGCGTATCCTGAGAGGATTCTACTTACTGTTTACTGAATAGGTGCTACAATGACAGCTCGAGGTGCACAGGCGTGTGGGGAAAGCTGCCCCTTTCCGAGGCAGATCGTGTTATCACGTCCTCAGGCGTTCAGCCCTGCAGGCCACTTGTGTGTGCCACCAACACGCACCCTTCGCCAGCTGTACACACTGCCTCTGCCCCTCCCCTATGATGCCCTGGCTCGACCCTTCCTGTGGACACTGCCGCCTTGTCCAGGATGAGTGTGCCATTCGTTCTCCATCCAGCCAGTCTCCTGTGGACAGACATGCAGACATTCCCCAAGCTCCTGCTATTCTGAGCAATGATGTAAAGAATAACCTTGAACACGCCTGTTCCCGCACCTGGAATGTCATGTACACATAAAATCACTGCAGATGTGACTGCCCAACACTGGTGTGCACCTGTAACCTGGGTGGGTGAATTCAGACTGCCTTTCATGGACCTAGGAAGTTATACTTCCAATGGCCAGGCCTGAGTGCTCGCCCACCATTCCCGACATTAGCAAATTTCTGATCTGTGACAATCTGACTTGTGAAAGATGTGGTCCCGACAGTCTTCATTCGTGCTTCGTGGCACCAACATATCAGACACCGTTTTAACGCTGAAAGGGTTGTGTGCATCCTCTCTGTGAATTCCTGTCACTCTCCTGAGCTCTGCTCATTTTCTCACTGGCACATGAGCTCTTTTATATGAAGGAAATGCGCCCTTTGTCAGTACCGAGAGCTGCTGGTACTGACAGTAACTTTCCTAATTTATTATTTGCCTTCTGACTTTGCTACTAGTAATTTCTTGCCATGCAGAATTTTAAGTTTTATAAGGCACACTTATAATCTTCCACCTTGTGCTCCTGGGGTGTATGGACCCCACAGGGACAAACTCCCAGCTTCTTCTAGTCTCTTATAGTTTCAATCCTTTAGATGTAAACCCAGCCTCCCTTCGAGGTGAAGTGTGGCTCCAGAGCATTCTCCCCAGAGAGCAGTGCAGATGCCCCTCCATGTGTGATACTGTCCAGCAGAGCCTGCCACCACGGAAATGTTCCAAATCTGTGCGTCCAACCCACCGGCCACTGGCCTCAAGTGGTTCTCAGGCTTCATACAGCCAGTGTGACTGAGAAGTGAGTTTTTAGTTTCAGTTAATTGTTTTAAACTTAAACAGCCTTATTATTGGTGAACAGTCACCATTAAAGCTGTTGAGTTAGAAGAGGGGAAAAAATGCAAGCAGACACTAAACACAACATTTCCAGATGATCAAGAACATGGGTTCAGTGAGACTCCCAGAACTGGCAATCGCAGGGGCGGGCTGCTCCTGGTGTGGGACAGCATGCCCCTCCACAGCACCCGCCACCTGAACAGCCACACTCGCTCCTGGGCAGAAAGGGACTGTCCCACAGCTCCAGTGCTGAGACTCCAACAATAGACATTTATTTCTCAGTCCTGGGGCTGGAAGTTCGAGATCCAGGTGTGGGCAGGGCTAATCCCCCGAGGCTTCCTCCCCGTGTCCCAAGCCCCTCATCTTAAAGGGATACCAGTCATACTAGATTAGGACCCGCCCTGATGGCCTCACTTAACCTTCATCTCCTCTTTAAACCCCATCTCTAAACACAGTCACATTCTGAGGTTCTGGGGCTGGGACTCCAACATGTGGATTTTGGAGGACAGACTTCAGCCTCTGACAGGCACATTCTTTGAAAAGTGAAACCACAGTTAACAGCAGCCATTTATCCTTCAGGATGAGCCAGGCAATCGTGTTTTTATCTGACTAGTTTGTAGACGTGGATGGCTACGATGGAACCGTCTGTGTGTCTGTGACTCCTTGTTACCTATAAGCCCCTTACCTGCCAATGGGGGGATGGGCCTGCATTTCACTCTCTCAGGAGGGGTTTCGCAGGTCGTGGGCAGAGATGCTGTCTTTTCTTGGTCATGTGGATCATGAGGAAAAAGTCTCTTCAGCACCTTTTCAACAAACACTAAAATGCAACCAATTGACAAAAACAGAAGAGAGAAAGAAAAAGGAATTACTTAAGGCAGTTTTATTATTTAAATCGCATATAAAGTTTATTTAAAACAAAGACATATTCTAATATTAACACCAGAAAACAAAGTGACTGTCTCCACAGGACCCTTGGCCACCTACAGCTGACCACCACCCCAAGGCCCCCTGGGCTGGGGTGCCCAAGTTGTGTTCAGAGGAGAAGCCAGCCTGGGACTCCTTTGGGTGTCTGTACATTATAAAGGCCAGACCTAACGCTCTTGAAGTTCCATCCCGGAAATGCCCATTTCCACTAGACCTGCACTCTCCCATGTGGATGAATCCAGTCAAAGCCCACTGGTTCTGGGAGGAGAGAGCTCTCACGGGGCCATGGCCCATGGGTGGGGCTCGCCCTGGCGTGCGCTGTCCCTGTCTGGCAGAACCTCAGGCTCTGGGGCTCCTCATCAGGGAAAGCAGACGAGCTGGGGTTCAGAACACCATCCAGCAAACGCCACCTGCCAAGCAGGCATAGGGTGCTCTCCTCGCCTCTGGCCACTCCCCCCACTTCAGGACCACCCTTCATGAAACCAAATCCAGCTCTTCAGACACAAGGCTGGTCACTTACTGCTCCAGCTGCTCTCCTAGGAAGCAAAGGTTACCAACACAAACCAAGGCCAGCTCTCAGCTGCTCCCTCCCCCAGGGGGACAGTCCTGACAACATCCCCAGGTACCGAGTCAGATTATGCCAGTTACAGCAGAGTCTGCCATTTCCGGGCACCTTCTGGGCTTGTCTTTCCCTCCATAAAGTGGCCAGCACACCTCCTGGGCAGGGGCACTGCAGGACGGACAGAGGACATGTCACTGGTCTAGCTGCACAGACCACAGGATGGCCTCTGAGGACAGAGCGCAGGCTCACACCTGGACTCTCCGGCAGGTACACATTTTGCTCAGCATCACGCTCCCTTATGCACTTGACCTCCCGCTCAAAGGCTGCCACCTCTGCCAGTGGCCTGAGTTCCAACAGCAGGCACCCCGAGGTCCCACAGTACCTGGTGTGTCAACTGAACGTGCCTCTCCTACCCCACACCTGTGCCCCTGCCCGTCTCCCTGGTCAGGGCACCACTGCTCTGGGCCAGCCCCTGCTCTTCCCCCATGTTCCAGCAATGTTCCCACACTGCTGGCCTGCCTTCAGGGTGGGCCCCAGGGTGGGGCTCTCCCCTGCCCCCTGTGAGCACAGGGCCGCATCCTGGCACCAGGAGCAGCTCCAGGCTCCCCATGTACTTATTCTGCTGGTCAATACGCAGGTCTCCTTCAGCTGCCACAATGTGAAGCACAAAGTCTTTTAAAAGAACATGGTTTCAATTGTTGAAAGTAAGTTTTAAAGGGCAACATGTAATGAGCAGTTAAATGACCAATAATTACCTTCCACCATCTAGTATGGCTGGGAGGTTCGCTGGTGAGTCTCCCTTCACCCAGCATTTGAGGCCACACAGTGGATGCTGCCATGGGGAACGAGGCTCTGTGGGACGCTGAACCCTTGAACTTAATGTCTGAACACCGTCCCCTGAAACAAACCGGCACTGGTGCTGAACACCACCTTTGCATCTCTGAGGACCGCGTGGCCGCGGGGCACTGGCGCAGTCTCCTATCACTGACAGTTCTCACTTTACTTAAACAGAAATAACCGGCAATTTTAGAACAAAAAGTTTATCGTATAGCCCCCTAAACCTTCACTGCTCCTTCAAGCATCCAGTTATGAACGAAACAAGTGCCCTGCGACCTGCCCGGCAGTTTCCCATAAACATGGACTTCATTCTGGAGCCAAGAGGCCTCCCGCTGGGCCCCTGCTCCCTGGTTCACGGTAAAAGCGGAGCAGAAATGAGACGAGTTGTCCAGGACACTGGGCACAGCGAGGCATCGCTTCCAAAAGGCATGTGTCCCTTCTGGTTCTTTGCAACGCGCCCTCTCCTGTGTGTCCGTGTGTGTCTGTGTCTGTGTGTTTCCCATGTGTCCGTGTGTCTTCCCGTGTGTCCGTGTGTGTTTCCCGTGTGTCCCCCATGTGTGTGTCTGTGTCTGTGTGTTTCCCATGTGTCCGTGTGTCTTCCCCTGTGTTTCCCGCGTGTCCTGTGTGTCCCGCGTGTCCGTGTGTCCCGCGTGTGCCCCACAGCAGCTGTGAGCCTAGAAATAAGGTGGAGGTAAAAAGTCTCTTCTGTCCTAATCTCCACGGGCTCACACACAGAACAAAGCAGAGAAGGGCTGGGTGCGGGTCCTGCAGGCAGCTGGTGTCCCGCAGCTCAGCCCAGGCACCGCGCGGCCCCCGCAGCCCCGCCTCCGCGCCCC